GTAAGGGGGGAAGTGGGGGACATCTGTAAAATCTCAACAACAATAACAATAAAAAGATGCTTCAGGTGAATGTTCATTTAATCTGAGATACTTTTTTTTTTCATGGCAAGGTAGGAGGGAAACAGTGTATTCTGCATATAAATGCTCCAACAAAAAGGGATTGTCAGAGATATTTGCCTTGAGTCCAGGTGAGATCTCCAGGCTAAATTATAGCAAGAGCTGGGAATGCAGCTGAATATTTCCAGATAAAGGCAGAGTTTTGCAATGCTGAAAGAAGCTCTTAAAAAGGCACACATGCCACTAAAAAAAGACCCTATGGGGAAACAGAAGACTATCCAGTTGCTCTTTAATGTGGAGCAGCAGACTGTACCTTATTTCCTTGAGTGTTACAGAAAATGCAGTTACATTCTTCTCAGGAATACATACAGTATTGAGACATTGACAAGAACCTCCCCAGGTATCTATTCTTAGTGAATATAGTGAATTGGAAGTAGTCTCTGATAACATATGTAAATGGCACATTAAAAGTTAATTTAATTTAATTGAACAAACCTCTTCTGGTTTTTATTACACAATTAATGGCTTATTATTTTGTCATAAATAGAATAAAATAAAATGTCTGTTGAGCCTTGTCTAAATTACCTCAAACTATTAAATATTCAGCTAAACTTAGGTTAAAACTTAAAATTTTAAAGGCTAAGGCTGATAAACGGTATTGTTAAATTTAATTTCTATATCTAGAAAGATATTGGTAAAGATTCAATACCAGTTTATATTTAATACTAAGAATTATTAGGAAGAAATTAAGTTGATTTTGTAAAGAGAATAGCCCATCAGCCTGATTTAAAACTTTAAATTCTATACTTCATAACATACTCAATAATAAAGCAAAAAAAGGTGGTATAACTACAGAACTTAGTACTTTATGCCTAATATTTTATTATAGTTATTCATTCAAAATATTTTCTAAGCCTCTATTATTTCTATTTATCTATTGGGCTTAACTCTTCTTACCTGAAGCTCCTTAGGACAGGGAGCTTGTCTCACTCATTTTTGTGTTCTCAGCAAGCTTAGCTAGGAGTTTGAGACATGGTAAGCCCTCAAAGGTGTTACTGACTGGCATTGAATTGGACAAGCTTACACTTGAGAATGATAACTGATCCGTGTTGGTCTGGTACTGATATAACTGTATTTCACAGGGTTGGCCTTGGCCTACCACTCTTCGTAATATCCTTGATAACAGACAAGAAAACAGAATCATTATTTTATGTAGATGTTACCAACTCAGGGAAGTGGGGGTTATAATTCTGAATAACTTTGGAAAATTAAATGAATTGGGAGATGTAACTAAATGAACACTCAACAAGTTTGTTAAATACTAGCCAGGAAATGTACCGTTTTGCTGTAAGTAGAGCTACAGCGAGAGGGAGAGATAGAGAGAGACAGAGAGAAAGAGAGGAGAAATGGTGGGAGGGAGTAAGGAAATAAAGAACAAATAAACTAGGTATAAGGATGGAAACAAGCTTCAACTTGTTCATAAATCAGCAGTGAGGAGGTAGTCCTCACTAAACACCACCTTGATCATACCTTCCACCTCAGAATCTCCATATTGCCTGAAGGAAAAAAATGTAAATTTCCTTACACTAGATTGTACTAAATTACTTCTTTGAGTCCCTTCCATTACTGTAAATCTGTTGGCATAATATTAAATTTGCTTCTCTGAGGCGTATTAAATTATTTGACAAATACTACCAGTGATACCTGAGCACTCTTTACAACACAAAACCGCAGGACAAAAGTGAACTTAGCAGTATCCTGGTGTTCAGGTTTTCATGAGGATTTGAGACAAGACATAATCACTGAGTGACTCATATGAGAAGGGTGAGGATTATGTTCCCACACAACTGTTAGGTGAACAAGTCAGTAAAAGGGAAGTGTCAGGATACTAAAAACAATTCTTAAATAGTGATACTCTGTTG